TCCACCAACCTACCTGTTTGTTCTTCGAACATTTTATTCACTAGGCAGGTAAGTAGCTCCTGCATTTTTTTAGCCCGAATGGAATTACATTATAGCAATAGGTTCCGCACTTGGTGACAAATGAAGTCTTTTCCTGGTCCTCCGGGTTTATTCGAATTTGATTGTACCCGGAGTAGGCGTCGAGAAAAGTAAGGATCTCATGGTCGGTTGTGGCATTGATCATGCGATCGATGCTAGGCAGTGGAAAAGAATCTTTGGGGCATGCTTTGTTTAGATCTTTATAATCTACGTACATTCTAAGTTTGTTCCCCTTTTTAGGGACTACAACTACGTTGGCTAACCACTCAGGATATTTTACTGCCCGAATTGACCCTATTTTGAGAAGTTTAGTTACCTCATCCTTTACAAATGTGTGTTTTATCTCGGACTCAGGTCTTCTTTTTTGCTTCACCGGTTTGAACCTAGGGTCCAAGCTCAGCTGGTGCGTTGTTATCGATGGTGGGGTCCCTACCATGTCTAAATGGGACCAAGCAAAACAATCTATGTTATCGATAAGAAATTGAATAAGTTTTTTCCCGAGTTCGGGGGTCAATCCCGTTCCCAGGTATACCTTTCTCTCGGGAAGATATTCAATTAATATAACCTGCTCCAGCTCTTCGATCATAGATTTGGTGGCGTCGGAGTTGTCGGGGACAATGAAAGCTCGAGATGTCAGAAACTCTTCCTCGTCATCCTCTATTGCATGTTCCACTGATTCGGTCGAGGCTGGTGGCTGTGATTGCTATTTCGTTTCTCGTCTATCTTTAGTGCTCGATCTTTCCGAGGTCGATAGCGTTGGTATCAGTGTTACCTCATCGACCGCAAATATTTCCTTCGTAGCATGTTGCTCCCCGTATACTATTTTCACGCCGTCCAACGTAGGGAATTTCATTACTTGGTGGAGGGTTGAAGGCACTGCCTTCATATTGTGGATCCAAGGCCTTTCGAGTAGGGCATTGTACCTCATATCTCCTTTAATTACGTGGAATTTGGTATTTTGGACGGTTCCAACTACATTCACTGGTACAGTAATCTCCCCTTTAGTCATTTCACTGGCCATATTGAAGTCGTTCAAGACCCGAGCTGCGGGCACGACTTGATTCTGCAAATCGAGCTGCTCTACTACCCAAGATCGAATGATATTCGTAAAGCTACCTGGATCCACCAAGACACGCTTAACTTGAACTTTATTTAATAGGATAAAAATTACCAGAGCGTCATTGTGAGGTTGAGAGATGCCCTCGGTTTCTTCAATTTCGAATGGTAAAGTGCCCTCGGGTACATAGCCTTAAGTTCATTTTTCCCTTGTGGCCGGTATCTTGCCGTATTTGAGCACGGGTCCCTGTGGAGTATCGACCCCATCGATGATCATATGAATGATATGCAAAGGTTACTCTTTTTTATCTTTTTTGCTGGCGTCCCTTTCTCTGAAGTGATTCTTGGCTCGGTCATTGAGGAACTCTCGAAGGTGGCCCTCATTGAATAGACGGGCTACCTCTTCTCTTAATTGTCTGCAATCCTCGGTCCTGTGGCCATACGTACCATGATATTGCACATCGAATTCGGGTTCCTTTGGGAAGGGTTGGTTTGCATGGGCCTGGGCCACATAGTATCTTTGATTCTGTCGATCACCGATACAATGCCCGATGCGTCGACGCTGAAATTGTACTCCGATAGCCGAGGTGCTTCTATAGGATCGGCATATTTATCAAAGCCACTCTTGCTCATAAGCCCCCGAGAATTTTGTCCTCGATCACTCCTTCGATTGTTCTTAACGACATTGTGCGTTGAACCGTTGTTCATTCGATCTGCGACGTACGGTTAATATCGGTCTCTGTTCGGCCTTTGCTCTTTGTCGATATCCCTCTGGTTTTTAATAGTTGTCATGTCCTGATGCATGGATCCAGAAGGAGCTCCCAACTGGTCATCTTCGACCCTAATTTTTGACTGATATCGGTTGTGTACATCCGCCCAAGTTATTGCTGGATACTCGATCAAATTTTGCTTCAGCCGACATGATGCTATTGAACTTTGCTCGTTCAACCCTTGGGTGAAAGCTTGGACAGCCCAGTCATTTGTGACCGATGGCAATTCCATGCGTTCCATTTGAAATCGGGATACTAACTCCCTTAGCATTTCATTACCTCTTTGCTTTACTTTGAAGAGGTCCGATTTCCTTGTTGCAACCTTTATGGAACCACCATGTGCCTTTACAAACGAATCCGCTAACATGGCAAAAGAATCAATGAAATTTGGTGGCAAATTATGATACCAAATCATCGCTCCCTTCGAGAGGGTCTCTCTAAATTTTTTCAATAACACGGATTCGATTTCATCATTTTCTAAATCGTTACCTTTGATGACATACGTGTAAGAAGTGACGTGTTCGTTGGGATCGGTCGTACCATTATATTTGGGAATTTCGGGCATACAGAATTTTTTGGGGATTGGTTTTGGGGCTGTACTCGAGGGAAAAGGCTTTTGAATGAATTTTTTCGAATCCAGCCCTTTTATCATTGGTGGAGCTCCCGATATCAGATCAACCCAAGAATTATATGTTTCTATTTTTTTATCGTTGGCTTCGACTCGTTTTGTGAGTTCCTCGAGCAATTTAGTAATTTTGGGAGTAGTCCCCGATTCTTGCTCGTTTGACTTCACTATGGCTGGCTCCGTTCTGTGGGTGATTTCTCGAAGCGGATCGGGCTCCGGCCTGCTTTGTACATGAGTTTGGCTCTACAGCCGAGCTATCGCTATTTGCTGGGCTTGTAACATCTCGAAAATCATCCGTAAGCTGACTCCGATCTCCTCCACGTTATGGGCGTCTCGAGCTACGGATCGAGTACCGGCCTGAATACTTTTTTCCGGTTCGGAACGTTGGTTCGCCTCAAGAGCCACTTGTGAATTGACATCTAGTGGTACTTCGACTCGGATTTCAAATACTTCGACTCGAGCTTTAGTGACATCGTTAAGTGGCCTTCCGGACCTGGGTATCAAGTTGTTGGTTTCATCCTGAAGGCCGACTTCGTGGTCGATAGGTAAAGCCATGAATAGAGGGTTTGCCATTGCTGATTTGGAGTTGTAAACTGATGACAAGCACTGTTATCCTTAGCCCCACGGTGGGCGCCAAACTGTTTACCCGAAAAGTCGGATATAGTTGAATTTTTAAGTAGTTCTAAGGATATGTGATATAGCTTGACATAAATCGTACGTAGAAGTGGAAATGTTTAGATCCTTGGCTATAAAAATGGGATATAAATTATTGAACAAGAAGAGTGAGTATGCTGAGTAAAACAAGCTCAAGAAATTTATTCTTCAATAAATAGAAGTAGTCTTTTCTTACAATGTGTGAACCTGCCATGTGCTTACAAGGATTCCCCCTTTATAGTAGAAGAATCTTACTTTATTTATAATAAAAAATATATAGTAGAGAATCCATGATGAATTGTCTCTTCCTCGATTCCCGCCAAGATTCTCTCCCCTAGTGCGGTTGCAACGGCTCTTGTCTGCGAGTTCGATACTGGCTCGAGCTCGGTATTGGGTTGAGCCCTCGGCCTTGGTTCGAGTTCGACATTCGGGGTGAGTGTCAATCGGTCTGTGCATCTCCGAAAACCTTCACGTTGCCTTGAGGTTTGATTTGGTCATGGGCTCGATAATGATACCGAGCCGATTCCTCGATCGGTCTTGGAGCTTGAAACTTGTTTGTACTCTCCTAGGAACTCGTCTCGAAGTCTCACTTCGATCGCTTACCATTCGAACTCGATCAAACGTACGGAGACCGAAATCTATTTCGACCGTATACACTAATCTTCGTCAACTTCTCTTCAAATGTTATAGCTTTGTTCATCTCCAACATGTTAATAGCCTCTAATGCAGCAACTTTTTCCTTCAAATTGTCTCGTTCAGTTTTAAGGGCATCCAACGACAACTTTAAATCTCTTATTAAAATTAAATCTTTATTCGGGTATACTTCGTCTTCCCATTAGCCCCACGTAAAATAAACTGTCGACCACAGTCCAAACAACTTACTGTTAGTAACATTAAAGGAATACCAAAAAAATTAAGTTTAATAAGAGTGAAAAAATCAGTACAATTAACAAGTGAAAAAAATATCAGCTTTATAAATGAAGTGACATACAATTGGCCTAGGACATTTACAAAATCTCCTTCCCGGCTTAGAAGGAGTGCTGGAAATAAAGTGGTTGGCAACCAAACCACAACGGCACCTTCTTTGTGATGAACAACTATTTTACAATATTTGACAACCTAATCGTACTCAACTTAGGAAGCAAACTAGAGAGAAGATGAGATGGAAAGAAAATTTATTGAGCTATCAATTGATTTTGAGGAACCCACTTGATGAGTGACGGATTTTTTACTCTCTCGTAGAGCACACACGGTGCAGATCTAAGAATTGCAGTAAATACAAGGGATCCCATGAGTTTATTTGGTTAAACGGGTTATGGATCGATGGGTTGAAACTTTTTTACTTTAAAAATGGGTAATCTCTAATATCTGATGGCTTTCCGTTTAATGAGGGGTATTTTTATAAAGTTGGGTAACAGTGAGGGTGGATGTGACCCTATAATATAACGGAGGGTACATGTGAATAATATACCAAAGCAGAGGGGTATATTTGGACATTTTCCCTATAATGTATAAATAATTATATATTTCACATATAATATACGTGTAACAGTGTATAATCAGTATTTACTAGCTAGAAAGCTATTTCTTTGCAAAACTATACTCAATTTTATATGTGGAGATTCCGTCAAGATCTCTTCGTTAGTTGGGAAGAATCCGCCCGAATAGGATTTTTTGAGGAGTAAATAGTGACCAGACTGGCTATTTTTGTAAAATTCCCAATTATTATGGATCTAAGAAACCCATTGGGCTCAATATTTCGTACCCAACTATAATATAGTCTAATCATCTTTGGTCCAATCAGCCCAGTCCGAGTTTCTTCTTCTACAGCAGCTTTATCGGTTGAGCTAAACCCTTCAGAACACTAAACCCCGGAGCAAAGCAGAAAAAAAAAGCTTACAAATTTTAATCAATGGGAACGAAGAACAAAGGTGATTCTTTACTCATTCTTTCAACACGTTTTTTCTGTTTTACATCAATGTTCCATTTTGTTAACTTCTTTTTTTTGTGTGGGGTATGTCAGCATCAAAAAAATTGAGCAAAAAATCCTCTGGGGTTGAAGAAAATACAGATGAAGTGATGCCTAAATCATCTACGAAGCAAAATGTGATGTCACATGTGGAGCAGTTGAAAAGACTCCAAGAAAAGGTGAGTTTTTTATTCTTTTAATTCTGTATTTAGTACGGGTTGGCATTAATTCTAACGTTTGGATAGATTTTTTATGATTCTATATTTCTATTTGTGTTTTCAACTTGTCTTGGGCTTAAAATTTGCTATCAAGTACCCTTTTTATGTCAATCCTTAAGGGTTTGTTTAGATTTTAGTGTGAAGTTTTCCTTATAAAAAAATATAGTGTGAAACTAATTATGATTATTTATATAAGTGCTTGTTGAGTAATCACCCTATTGGATAAAAATGTGGGTGTTAGTTAAAAAAGTGTTTTTTATATTGCTTATGATGAAGACTGATCCCTGGTAGAATCGGAAGAATTTGGGGAAGAAGGGCACACATGGAATGAATGAGAAGATGTAAAAGTTGGAAGAAGAAAGGACTTTTTGGTTAGACGAGTGGAATTGACTAGGTATTTTATTCTTACAACAGGGCTTATTTCAAGTGGCAAAGGTTGAGGGACTTATGACTTAGGTCATAGGTTCGAGCACTTTGCCATGTCCACTAAGCCTGGTATATAAGTGGAGAGGGTAGAGTTTTGAAGGCTGCGATTGGTCCTCACTCCTCAAGGTTGGCTCCAGATGGATTTCTCGGTCATAAAAGATAAATTATTCTTACAATAGCATAGCTAGAATGGACGGTATTGTGTAAATGATTAGGGATTTCTCTCTAAAAAATATGGATTGGATTTTGAAGAAGGGGTGTAAGGAGCCCTTAACCTGCAACAGATAGAAAAGGATTTGGTCATTTCATTTTTTTGGGCTCCTTGAACATGGTGCCGGTGAGGCTTTCTATTTCAATTTCTGTTACAGTGGCTGGGTCCGTTATTCATTTAATGGAAACTATTGCTAGATATTCCCCGGCCCAACGCCAGAATATTGGTCTTATGGGAGGTTTGAACTTTGAAGAAACAGCACCTATTACGATCACATTTTTATTAGTAATGATATCAAAACCAGACATGCCTTAACCTTGGTAGATTCCCTTATGGAGTTTGAGCTCATTATCTGTAGCTCATTTCTATGTCTGGCCTACTTGCATCATTGTGCAATCATGTCAATCTGCCATACATTTTGAGTATTTCATTGCAAGAGTAGTACTTTGCAACTATCCATTCCAGAACTTTTTGTGCTGATATTGTTCTTAAGTCTTAACCAATATATGCCACATTTTTTTTGTAGGATCCTGAGTTTTATCAATTCTTGCAAGAGCATGACAAGGAACTCCTTGAATTTGACGACAAGGATATTGATGTAAGTCTTTACTATTTCTTTCCTTCTCGTTGTTCTCATGGTATTTGAAATGGTTTGTAGAATCTTATCTCAATTTTGTGAAGGATGATGCCGAGACTGAAATGGATGGCGACGAAATAGAAGAAGCTGATGAAGGTGATGAATTTGACACTGAACAACTTGTTCATGCAGATGGAAAGGAGGTCAAGGCATCCACAAGTGTCATCACTAGTGCAATGTTGGACTCCTGGTGTGGTTCTATTCATGAAAATAGGAGTTCGGGGGCTATTAGGTCTCTCATGAGAGCTTTCCGAACAGCTTGTCATTACGGTGATGATGCTGGTGAAGATGCTAAGTCAAAGTGGAGTACCATGTCTAGTAGTGTGTTCAACAAGATAATGTTATTTGTTCTAAAAGAAATGGACGGAATTCTTCGTGGCCTGTTGAAATTACCAACTTCTGGTGGGCAGAAGCAGATGATAAAGGATATATCCAATACTAAACGTTGGAAGAGCAACAACCACTTGGTGAAATCATATCTCGGAAATGCTCTACATGTTCTAAACCAGATGACTGATACAGAAATGATATCATTTACATTACGAAGACTCAGATTCTCATCTGTATTTTTGGCTGCTTTTCCAGTTCTTTTAAGGAAATATATGAAGGTATGGGATTGAGTTATATAACTCTTATAATTCACGTGAACTTTCTTGTCCAAAGGAATGGTTAATAGAATTCACACCAACAGTTTTCTTCTGCAAGAATATACCTCCTTTTTACAAGAAACCTGTACATTTCATCCTTTTCCCCCCTTTTTTGGGCAGAGGGGGAGGGTTAGTCAATTTTGGTGTTCAAGGTTTTAGCTGTTGCAAAAAGCTAAGTATCTTCATTTTCTCATAGGAGTCCTTCCCATATATTCGGTATTAGGGACATGAATTTGATTTTTGACAGTTGAATGACATGGCATCTGGCCCTTGATCACTTTAACCTACGAAAATGAATGTTTAAATGCTATTCAAAAGTAAGTAAATAGATCCAAAACACATAAAATGCGGTTAATCCCACCGGCTGCTTATGTCATACTGTCATGACAAAATTTAGCTCGTTGATATCTATCCTGAAATTCTTACAAAAGAATCTTATATAAGCATCCTGTTATAGTAACATAGCTCTAGATTAAAAGAAGGGGATATTCAAGTTTGTTGGCTGGTAGTTAATGATCCATACAAATTAAGTTTAAAAATAGTTGCGAAGCACTCAAGCTCTAGACTTTTCTGTTTTTCAGAAGACACGAGGCACAAGAGTTTTATTCTCTGTATGAACTATTCTTCTCTCTTTCTAAATAAAATGAAGTTGAGCAGAATTTAACTTTTCAGGTTCTTCTTCATTTCTGGGGTACAGGCGGAGGTGCACTACCAGTTGTCTCTTTTCTGTTTCTAAGAGACCTGTGTATGCAGCTTGGTTCTGATTGCATTGACGAGTGCATTAGAGGAATGTATAAAGCTTATTTGTTGAACTGCCAATTCATGAGTGCAACTAAGCTGCAGCATATTCAGTTTCTTGGTAATTGTTTCGTTGAACTACTTAGGGCGGATCTTCCCAATGCTTACCAGCATGCCTTTGTTTTCATTCGGCAATTAGCAATGATTTTACGGGAAGCACATAGTGGTGGTACTAAGACCAAGGTATCAGTTTGTTGTTTCTGATACTGGTAAATTGTCTTCTATCTGGATTTTTGTTACCAACCACTGACATATGCTTATTCTATAAATTTATTGGGTTAAAAGGGGATCTTGTATAGCAGTTTTCTAAGCTAGCGTTTGGCCATAGATTCCCAAATTTGTTTTGAAAAATCTGATTTAGGTGAAGTTTGGTTTGAAGATGAAAATGTGTTTGGACATCACTTTTCAAAACATATTTCACTTTTTTTTTTTTAAAAAACATGAAACATGACGTATACCCACAAGTTCTAAAAACTATACAAATACCCAACAATACCTTCATCAATAACATTCATTATCATTATCACAAACCATAATCCTGAACATAAATAAATTTGGTACAAAATTATCATTATTATAACGAACTACATGATACAGTATCAGATGATCGAGAAGACGAAGCAACATTGTTACAAAATAATAAATGGTGGGCTCTTTTATAAAATATAAAAGCTTGGGGCAATTTTTTTAAAATGTAATAGTAATATTTTGGGCCTTGAGCTGGTTTTGGGATTTGGGAATTTGCCAAAATATGGATAAAATTTATGAACAAATATATATTTGCAAAAAAACATTTGGCAAAATCTATGGCCAAACGGGCGCTAAATTTGTTTTTCCATAATTTTTAGCTGAAGAATACTCTGGTTTAAGAGTTTCAAAATAGAAGTTAGCCTGAATTCACATTTTCACGTGAGAAAAGGCGCTCAAAGAGTATCAAGTTGCTTAGTATTTTACATGAATGGTGGTATCCTATTGAAAGTTAACCTTGCCTGTTAGTGGCTGCAAACTCATTGTTCTTCCCTTGTCAAATCTTTACCAGAAATCGTCTCAAAAGACTAACCAATCATCCAAGGAAGCACACAATACTAAGGCCAAGGTACTTCGACTCTTATATTTGTAGCTGGTATATTTTTTTTTATTTTTTTTTTGGATTATGGTAACCAAAATGTGGGTTTATTCTGTATTCTCTGGGTGGTTAAGAGATAACTTTGTACTGCCTTTTCTATGGGTACTTGATTGCATTGTATATTGGTCTAAAGTTGCGAAGCTGCTTTGTACCTTACATCTTCACATGAGAAAAATGTGCTCAAAGACTATCAAATTGCCTCAGTATATTTCCATGACTAGTTGTGTCTTTTTGAACACTATCCGTGCCTTTTAGTGGCTGGTAATCGTATTTCTTCCCTTGTGAACTCTTTGTGAAGAATCATCTCGGAAAGTTAACAAATCATCTAAGGAAGCACAGAAAAGAAATAAGATCAAGGTGTTATTGTGTAATTTCATTAGTGCTGATCTTTGGAATAGTGTTACGAATGAGTTTCGTATGCTTATTCTGCTTTTTGTTTCGGTTTAGCAGGTAGTCCTATACAGAGGTTTTCTCTTCCTGTTAATTATTAGCTGAACCATGGCTCCAAACTCGTCTGGTATTGGTAGTGGATGAATTTGATCTTTTGGTTTGAAAGAAGCATTCCTTTTTCCTTTTTTTTAAAAATTTTTTTTTAGAGTTGATTCTCTGGTAGAATATTCTGCTTTAAGCGTTTGATTTTGGGAAAATGCCTTGTCGCCTTATTTTGCAATTTTCAAGACACAAGTAGCTCAGTGTCAAGTTGATTAATCAAAAAAAGAAAAAGAGTGTCATGTTGCTTCATTATTTTGAACCACAGTGTTTTATTTTATTTGATGGTTATGTTTGCCTTCTAGTGGATCTAATCATACTTCCTTCTTTTTCAATCCCTTTTCAGGAGTCATTTCTGAAGGTTTACCAGTGGAAGTATATACATTGTCTTGAGCTGTGGACTGCAGCTATCTGTGCTTACAGTTCAGAACCAGATTTTAGGCCCCTGGCTTATCCACTGACACAAATAATTTCTGGAGCAGCACGTTTGGTTCCAACTGCTCGCTATTTTCCTCTTAGATTGCGATGCATCAAAATGCTCAACAGAATTGCTGCCTCCACCAATTCTTTTGTTCCTGTTTCCACGCTCCTTTTAGACATGCTGGAGATAAAAGAATTGCATAGGCCTCCAACAGGGGGAGTTGGAAAAGCCATAGATTTTCGTACTGTTTTAAGGGTACTTTTCAAATGCCTCTCTATTTTCTTTAGGTTAACGGTGTACTGCTTTATAAGAACTTACATATTCTCTCTGAATCTGTATTTTTGATGTATCAGGTTAGCAAACTTACGTTGAAAACGAGAGCATTTCAGGAAGCATGTGTTTTATCTGTGGTTGAGGAGCTTGCTGAGCATCTTGCTCATTGGAGCTACTCAGTTGCTTTCTTTGAGCTGTCTTTTGTCCCTGTTGTTAGGTTGCGCAACTTCTGCAAGTCCACCAATGTCGAAAGATTCCGTCGTGAAACAAGGCAAATCATTCGCGAGGTACGCTTGTTGGACACTTGGTTCTATTGGTGATATGACCATGTATTATTTTCTCAAGTCACATGTTACTCCTTCATTAATAACTGTATATAGTTCTCCAAGTAGACCATGTTGGCTTCTTTAATCTCTATTACAGGCTACTTGTTAGCTGGCACAATTTGTTTATTCTGCCATGTAGCATGTAGCATGTGTTATAAGTACATGAAGTTGATTAGTAAAATGGTACAGATTGAAGCCAATTCAGAGTACACAAACAAGAAACGCACGACAGTTTCATTTCTACCTAATGACCCAGCGGCAGCATCTTTTCTTGAGGTTTGAACACCGAAATTCTCTTATGGCTTTAGCGGAAGTAGCCTTTGAAGCATCTTATTATCTTGCAAAATGTTGAACTTAACTTATCCTGATATAAACTTTGCCCGTTTACCAGTAAAATTCCGTCAAATTGCTTTTGTTTGTCAACCAATCTAGACTTCGTATCTTCTTTTGTTAGTCAGGAACACATTGAAAGCTTTGTTGACAACTTGTCAGAGCATCCTTCTGATGGACATGAATAGTTGGGTTATTATGGGGATATGGGCGTCTAAAGTTAATCCATTGAGCCTGTTTGGCGAGGCTTCCAGAAACTGCTTATAATTACTTTTTTCCAGAAGTACTTTTTGAGAGAAGCACGTGTGTTTGGCAAATTAATTTAGGAAGTGTTTTTTCAGTATTTGAAAAACAGACTGTGTTTGGCTTATCTTTCCAAAAAGTGCTTGACTGTCAATTACGAATTAGGCTTTATTTTGAAGTTAGTGTTATTTAAATAAAGAAATGATTTTAAATAGTTTTTATGAAATGCTTAATTAAGTGTTTATTTTATTTAGTTAAAATTTCACACACACACACACACACACACACACACACACACACACACACATATGTATATATATGTATTGTAAAGGTTTTTAATCAATATAAATATAGTTAAGCCAAAAATGGGAAGAGGAAAAGAGGGTTGTATTTATGTTTGGGAGATACATGGGTTAAATTAACGAGGTAGTTTGGTAAATATAAATTTTTGGTAAGGATATTTTTGTCTTGGAAAAGATAATTTTCTGCTTATGCTTCGCAGAAAATTTTAGCTTCTCTCCACACCATAAATCTACTGCTGCTACTCAAAAGCATTCTTGGTTTTTGGCCAAACATCTCAAATCTCCAAAAAGTGCATTTTTTCGGAAAAACGTGCCTTTGGCTTCCCGAGGCTATAGTCTTGTTTAGATCACAGTTTCCCGAAGGATTGTCTAAGCTTGCAATGTCATAGAGGTTCACAATGTTCAGTCTTTTACTGATAGTTATTAAGCATCTTTTTTGACTTGGTTTGCTGGAAAATTCATCCTTAGGATGATAAGAATGCAGGAGTGAGTCCTCTATCAAAATATGTCGCCATGCTCCGACAGAGAGCACAACAGAGAAACGATTCATTAAAGGAATCCAGGTTTCACAAGATTCTGTTTTTGTTAAAACTGTATCTGATGATTATCTTTTGGTGAATCATAAAGTAATGAACTTGTAATCTGCAGTGTACTTGTTGGTCAAAACTCAGCCGTCTTTGGGACTAAGATAACTGAAAGTGATGATGATGACGACGATGATGATGGTAAAGATAGCAAAGGAGATGCTGTCTTCAGTTCTTCTTGGCTACCTGCAGGCAATACCAAGTATGTTTACATTCTTCTTAGCCACTTTCCTAGCCCTACTAACTGCTGAAGAGGAAAAGAAACTTTTAGACCTGAAACAGGGGTCAAAACACTATCTTTATTATGTAGTTGGTATATATGAACGTATTTTTCCAATATGATATGTTGCAGGGCCGAGCAGTCTACAGAGGAGAAACAAAAGAAAAAGAAGAGAAGGAAGGAGCTGCAAGATGAGACTGCTTTTGATGAAGACATTGTAGAGGATTTTATCCTCAGTTCTGATGGTGAGGACGGTTCCGTGAGTGACACCCCCTCCGACGAAGAAGTTAGCATAAAACAGAAGTCATCTGTAGAGCCTTCAAAGAAGAAAGGGAAATCTCATGGGAAAAAGAACAGGAAAAGGAAGCGATCCAAAGCAGTAGCATCTGCTGTCTGATGATTCTTGTAGTGCTAAACTGATCTTGAAGAATGAACAAGAACAGTTTTGCAATGAGCCAATTTGTCCAGTGTAAGTTTGCTATAAGCATAAATTATTTATCCTGTAAAAGTCAGCTATCAATTTTGTTTTTTATCCTTTTTTTGGTGCCCAAATAGGAAAGACTGCGTATAGACAATTCATATAACTAATCCCAACTAGTTGGGGATTGAGATGTAATTGATTGATTGATCCATTTCTTTTTTGGCGCTTATCTCTTTGCCTGTTCTTTTTTATACCCTTTCATCTCCTCTTCTTCCTTTTCTTCTTCATTAATTTTATCATCCTATTTTTGTGAAAGAAAGTAAAGCCTGCTGAGTCTCAATTTCGTTTTCCTACTCTTTTCCCAAAAAGAATGCTTTTTTCTGTTTGAGTAGCCACTATTTTTTTTAACTAAGAATTTGGTTAATCTTTTTTTTTTTTAATTTTTAAAAACTGTAACTTGTAGTACATCTTATGTAGTAAAGAATTTACCAAAATTAAAAGCGATGTTCGTCCCAACATTGAAAATTGGATGCACTGCTGCTCGTACGTTGAACTTTATGATTCTACCTGAAATGGAGGAAATATAACAATTATTTGGAAGGGTAGAAGTTTTACCTAGGTGAAGTGATAGCTAGGAATTATAAGAGATGGTTTAAGAACACAAAGAACTACGAACAAAGTAACTGCTGAAATGAGTTGATACAGAAGAGAAATTGGCACCGGGTGACAACATATAATAGGAATTAGTAGATTTTTGGCTTTAGATTACATTTAACAAAGGCAACTCCAAAAAATTAGCATTGTATAGCCAAATTCCAAAAAAACGTACGTTCCTATTTATTCTCTCCCCATATTTCTTCTTCTATCTGTCCTATCTTTTTCATGAATAAATAAATACAATTGGTTAGGCGTTCAATTAAAGTTTGAAAGTTTGGATTCCACCAATGATTTGGACCGAAACCTTAAACCGGTCTTGGAGACCTTAAACGAATTCCCCATTAAATTGCTGGAATTTTACAACGTCGACTAATCCGATGTCGGAGACTTAACATAAAATTACTTGATTCAATGAAAAAGCTTCAAATTAAGTAGGAAGTAGCGTTTTTGTATTGGGCATAATAACAAGCACAAGAGCTGATGTAGAGACCTCTTAAGGAGGAGTTGACTCAGGACGTTTTCGAAGTTCCTTCTCTTTAGTTTTGAGAATTGAGATAATATTCTCACGAAAATTTTGAGTTATATACTACGATATACAAAGAAAAATTCTTTTTGATATACAAAAATGAAAATTAAATTTTTGATATATATATTTTGATATAGACAGAAGAAAAATAAACTTGTAATATATATTTTGGTATACATATCATTTAATATGTTATACACTACGATATACAAATACTACAATTATTTTCATTGTGATATACATTGATACAGAGACAAAATAAATTTTAAGCAACTATATTTATAATTTCATATTTTAGATATACAAAGAAGGAAAATAAAATTTTAATATACACAAAGAATGAAAATAAAAGTTACGGTAAACATTTTGATATATATAATATTGTTGTTATATATATTTACTAGCTACTTAGTGCTAATATCTATATTTAGGGCTTTTTTGGGTTTAATTATGTGAATCATTAGCACTTTTAGTGTATTGAGTATTAATTTGACAAATTTAAGAGTTAATCAATCACATTAATTCAGGATGTGAAAATAAAACTTGGATAATCAAAGAGTATTCTAATAGGATGATAAATTGTGATTTTTCTGAAACTAAAACAACAAATGTAAAGCTCCTAATTTTTTCCGCTAATTATTATATTCTCAATCAAGCTCATAGTTGGACACAAAGGTGATTGAAGAGTTATAAAGGTATAAAATACATAAATCTTATATTTAGAAGGTTGGCTGGATGGATATAAGGAGGGATAAGTAATTTGGAATACATTGGAGTTGTTTAAGGGGTGAAACTGATCTTAGCCACACATAACCTAAGTTTCAATGAGCATATTTATCAATATATAATGAATTGAGATTTGAACTATATATCAAAAGAAAGCCTTTGAAGTCTAGTTTCTATCATTTCAAACCGTTTGTTATTTTGATATTTCTATAAAAAAAATTATGGACGTTTTATTGAAGAATGTCCTGCTAGAAAGATGGACCGCGGGTTTGGGCGCCCGTCATAATGTCAAAACTAGCAGAAACTTTTATTTGGGCGCTGTAGGGACCGCTGGACGCTGGTTGTAGCGCCTAAGGCGTAAAATTATGATAAAAGGGATAGGGAGAGTGAAAATAACTTCATTTTTCAAAAATTAAACCTCTCCTCTCATCCTAAGTCATCCAAGGGTTCTCATACTACCTAAGGTGAGTTCTCAATGCGATTAACGCTAGAATACTACTTCCAAACGTCAATTCTAACAATATTCAACCTCGAAATCGCTAAATTCTCAATAAGAATTCAAGAACTAGATCTCTCTCCTAACCCAGGTTTTCGTGACTCAAGGTAAATTTCGTAACCGCTCTCAACCACAATTGTTAGAGAGGTTTACGTTTTATATTCGTTCCTAGAAACTACTACAAAAACTTAGATTAACTGCGGACCTTAGAAATTGAGAAATATGAAATCTAGGGTTTCTAAAGTTGGAAATTTTAAGATATTTACAATTGATTCTTAAATTAACTATGTAAAAAGATTTATTTGGTAAGTTGAACCCATTGGATTGAAGCAGATAAAGGTATTCAAAAGCAAAGGATTAAGGTGAGTAAAGAAAATATTTTTACTAAAGTTGTCTTCTAACAAAGATCATGACAAAAGTAATTGTTGGATTGTATACGATGTTAATGTGGGCTATGATTGGAAAGAGTGTACTCACATTATAATAAGTCGACCGATCGTTTTGAGCTCTAGCATATCGTTCGACGGTTTGAGGTATTGAGTAGCTTCACCTTATGTATTATGACTTGCACGTGTGCTTGGTTTCGATTTTCGAGGAGTTCAGAGTTGATTTGGAAGAATAATTCTCTATTCAGAAGTTTTAAGTTAGAAGAGTTGACCAAGGTTTGATGTTTGAGTAAATGACCTTGGAATCGGGATTTGAAGGTTCCAATAGGTTCGTATGATGACTTCGAACTTGGGCGTATGTTCAGATTGAGTATCAGATGGTCCAAGGAGTATCAGCGCTTACTGTGCAAAGTTGGCATCTTGAAGATTTTAGAATTTTCTAAGTTTGATTTCAAGTGGATTTTGGATTTATCGATATCCGTTTGGGATTCTGAGCCTTGGAATAGGTTCGTATTGTGATTTCTGACTTGTGCGTAAAATTTGGTGTCATTCCGAAATGTTTAAGTATTAAGTTTGAATAATTTAAAAGTTAAAAGGAGGTTTTGATCGTCGATTCATACTTTTGATATTATTCATGGGGTTTCGAGCCTTTGGATAAGTTTGGATGAGGTATTGGGACTTGTTGGTATGATTGGACGGGGGTCCCGGGAGGCTCGGGTGTGTTTAGGGATGGTTTCAGATCATTTCTCCATGTTTTGTTATTGTTATTGTTGCTGGTGTTTGGTGTTGTTCTTCGCGAACGTGAAGGGATGCACGCATTCGCGAAAAAGGAAATGTGGTTGCTGGGAGTTTGTATTTCGTGTTCACGATGGTGGTCTCGATTTCACGAGGTATGGACAACAAAGTTACGCGTTCGCGATGAAGAAGTAGGGCCTGGGGGACTTGGCCTTCGCGTTCGCGAAGGTGTTGGCTACATTCGCGATGGGACAGCCTGGTAAAACATCACGTTGGCGAGCCTGCTCTCGCATTCGCATAGAAGATTTGGGAGCAGAAGCTGAGTGTGCTTCGCGAACGCGAGGCACTTGCCGCGTTCCCGAAGAAGGAGAATCTGGGCAGAATATAAGTTTGCAAAATCGGAAATTGCTAATTTCATCTCATTTTTCTCTCTTGGTGCCGATTTTGGGGCGATTTTGGAGAGCTATTTCATCCACCTATTGGGGTAAGTGTTTCTAAATCATTTTTAATTATATTTCATGAATATATATATATATATATATGGATTTTAACATGAAAATTTAGTAGAAATTGTGGGATTTTGGAAAAAACCTGTAATGACCTGACCGGTCTTTTACTTTTAGAACCCTGTTTTTCTAAATAAGACTCACCATATATGCTTTTATAGTTTTATGACTTGTGGGGATGGTTAATTCGATATTTGGAAGGGTTCGGGTTGAAATCGGAACACTTGGTTCCTTAAGTTGGCCTTAAAATGCTAAGTTTGACTTTGGTCAACATTTTGAGTAAACGACCTCGAAATCGGGATTTGACGGTTCCAATAGGTTCGTATGGTGATTTCAGACTTGGACGTATGCTCGGACCGGATAGTGGATGACCCGGAAGCATTTCAGCGCATAATATTGAAAGTTGGTTCCTTGGAGGTTCTTGAAGTTCTTTGAATTTGGTTTAGAGTAGGTTATTGTGATATCGAGGTCTGGATGGAATTCCGAGATCAGGGTTAGTTCCGTAATGTCATTTAAGGCTTGCACGCAAAATTTGGTGTCAATCCGAGAAGTGTAAGTACGTTTCGGCGCTTTGGGAGTAAATTAAAGAACTTAAAATTCATATTTTTGATCCAATTGGTTTGAGGTGTGATTCTTAGTTTTAATATCATTTTGGGCATTCTGAGGGTTCGAGCGGGTCTGTTTTATGATTTCAAACTTGTCGGTATTTTCGGGCGGGGGCTCAGGAGGCCCAGGTATCGATCGGGCGAGGCTCAGACCAAGTTGAAACTTGGGAGCAACAACTGAAGTTCCTAGATGTTGGCGTAATCGCACCTGCGCTTGGCCAGCTGCAGGTGCGAGCCAAGGGCTGCAGAAGCGAGCAAGACAAGGCTGCCCAGGATCCGCAGGAGCGAGGAGTTTGGCGCAGTTGCGACCGCGCAGGTGCAATGACTGTGACAGTAGAAGCGGCTGTGTCCGCAGGCGCGAAAGAGTCTGCCGCAAGAGCGGTTGCGCAGGAGCGGCCCTGGCTCCATAGGTGCGAAGGGCGAGTGGCCAGGCCGGTTCCGCAGAAGTGGACTTTTGACCGTAGAAGCGGAAGTCCCTCCGCAGGTGCGGAAATCGCTGAAGGTAGAATCCTTCATTTAATGCGAGACTTAGTCATTTTAGCTTATTTATTCCATTGTTGGGTGATTCTTGGAGCCCTTAGAGAGGAAAGCTTCATCTAACATCTTGAGGTAAG